TTATTGAAGCGCACGGGCCGAATTATTATTATTATTTTTAGTGGGGGCCGTCCAGGGAGGCTCCGGGAAAGCCTAATGTAATCACATTTTCCCTCCCTCTCAGCAGCAGAGCTCACTTTAATTCCGCAGAGTTTCATCTTCTTGACGGCCTTTAGTGGGAGAGCCGACGTTTGTTGGCGCATTCTAGAAAGAAACTCATAAATGCCAGCGCTGGTAATTAATATTGCATCTTAATTAGCTGTCACGTTTATATATCCATCGCGAAAGCTCTCTTTCTACTTTTTTCTTCCGAGGCTAAACTAATGCTCGACTGAATCGTTTGCCAAAAGATTTAACTTCTTGTGTGTGTCGTCGTCGCCGTGCAATGGCATCATCAGAGCTTTTCAAAAGATCCTCCGTCGCCCTCGCCACTGGAGTTGAAAAAAGCTTAAGTGAAATGTTTTTAAATAAGAACCCGCCGGAGAGCGTCGAGAGAGGCTCACAAAGTAACTACATTTACCAGTCAACGGCTTACAACACGTGCACAAAAATATATATACACAGAGAAAGAAAGCACCACTCAAAGAAAAAGCTTTCCCGTTTCTCGGAAATGCTGAAAGTCTGCTCGCACGAAACAACAGCTGCACGAAATTTCGCGTCTCTTCTTCTCATTAGCGTAATTATTATGGGGTGTGAATGGAAGCTTGATTGGCGTCGTCTCCTCAACAATGCTGCGTTTGATTGTTACCAACTGCGTGCGTGTGAACTGTCGCCCGACGAAATGAGACTAGAAGGGAGCAGTATATAGTGCATTATCCCTCTGCGTCGTCGGCTGTGTGTGTGTTGCTGGTGGTTGACGGATTCGGAAAACCTTTTAAAGCACTCTCTGCTCCGGCGTGGTGGCGCGTAGAAAGGGGTTGAAACCTTAATTTATCCAAATTCGCACGCTAGAAAGCTTTCAATTGTGAATGAGACTGACAAGAAATGGCGGAAAAATCCTTCAAGTGTTGAAAGCAGGCTGGTCTAAAAGCACTTAAGGCCAGCCATAAATTAGTTAGTCTGCAGAAACCTTATGTAAGTGAGTTGTTTCAAAGTCTATATACTAAAGCAATTTTATGATGTAGATTTGGATATATATTTTTGTAATCTCTTTAAAACAATTTCCATAATTAGAATTAAATTAATTTTCAACTGCTATAGTATGTTCAAAATCATCAAATAAGCACACGCACATTTCCTAATATTTTTTAAATTAATTAAAAATTATAGTTCACATCTTAAATCAGGCTATTTGACGAGCTTTTTGAAGCTAGAGGAACTGCAAAACAAAATTAGGCAATGTTCATAATATTTAAACTTTTAATTAATAACTTTATATTAATATTTTAAAATATTATTTGTTTTTGGTTATGTTAAGGAACATAAATTATGTATTTAAATTAATTAATTATAAATTAATAATTAAAAAATTAAAAAAAAAACACGTGAGTTCAAACATTTTGCTATGTGACTAATTTTTGTTTCCACAGCATAATTTGAAAAAAAGTTTATTTTTTATTTTTGATGTAATTTTAGTTTTATCGGCAAAAAAATATTTTCAATATAGAAATTACTTGGTAAAATGAACATTTCTCTCTCTGCGTGAGTATATTTTTATTTTTCCAGCAGATATAGAAAGCACAGTTAATTATTTCAACGTCTCTCTCGGAACGTCGGAAAAGTGACGTTTTATTAAAGCTCTCCGCGCAGCACTACCACTCAGAAAAATCGCATTAAAATGCTGCCGTGGCAAGAGCTGAGTGCGATCTCAATATTTTTGCTCCACAAAGTGGAGAGAAGAAAAAACGCGCGCGCGGCGAGGCAGTCGCCGCATTAAATATTCAATAAGTTTAATGGAAAATGCCTTATTTATCGGAGGGATGGGAAATAATTTGATATAGTTTCCATCGGCATTGATTGGCCAGAGTGCGATTCCAATCGCCACCCTCCTCCTCCACTCTCCCGTACAAAAAGTTAATTTCCTGCGGCCCGCGCGTGCAATATTTATGAAAGGGAAACTTATTATTGCAATGTTTACACCGCACCCAACCACTCTACTATAATATGGTAATGATGAAAAAAAAATCATTGAAAAGCGAATTCAGCCGTTGGCGAGGCAGTGTATTATCATGTATGCGTGTCCTTACACTGCGTGTAATTGACTTTCAAGTTCAACAACACGCTGAATATATAAGCCGGCCGCTTTGTGCGCCTCTCTCTCCATAATAAGAATTAATCTCTGAGCCCGGCCTGTTTACTCAAGTAACTTAAAAGGGGCCTGCTGGGATAATATTTGCTTCGCGGCTCCCATTACCGGCCCTTTCTTCTCTCTCTCTGCTGCAGATTCGTCTCTCAGAAAAGCCTGCAGCCCAGTTTTAATATCTGTATACAAATTATGGCGCGGCGGCGTCCTCGTTTAATTATTTCGATTAAATTCGTCAATTCGCGCGCCAAGAGGGTGAAATAAAGAGAGGAGGGATTCACCGAAAGAGTGGGTTATTATTTTGCTTGGCCGGGCTGCAGGAAAAGACATCATTTTCTACTTGGTTGAATGTACCAATTACGTTTGGGAGGTCTAAAAAAGCATTAGCCATTTAATTAAATTTTTTATCCGCCTTCTTATTACTTGATTAGATTTATAGATTAGATTCTCTCTCTCTCCTCCGCACAGCAGCAGCTTTGTCAGGAAAGTGAAATTGGATTTCTATCCGCACCGTCTCTCGCTAGGACGTTGTAAATTTTTATATTCTCGCCACTTTAATATATAAAAATGGCACTCGTGGAAATTATTATTCTCGGGGCTGATCGAACGAAAGAAAGGGAGGAGGGCAATAGCTGTCCCATCCTGGCTATACGTGCTAGTCTTTGCGAAAGCGGCGGCGGCGGCAGCGGGGTTTTCAATTACTTTTTTGATTGATTTTCAACGTCAAGGGAGAGGACTGTGGGGTGGGGTGGCCAGATAATTGAAGCGTTGATTACGCCAGAAGAGGTGCTGACTACGGCTGAAAGTGAGCCAGCCAGCCCCGCCGACACTCTCATGCTCTCTAACGAGTGTTGCACGCGAATCGCCGCCGAAAGAGAGAGAGAGAGAAAGGCAGGGGCTGCTGATGCTGCGCCGCCTTACATCATCAGCCCAACGTTATTATTTTTTCTGTCAGTGCAACTTTTGAAGTTTTGACGCCTCATCGCCGGCCGGCCTCTCTCTCTCTCTCTTTCCCGGCCGATTCCGCACGAGATAAATTAGACAGGGTAGTGTATTAAAGTTGGAGGAGGAAAATCGGTCGGTGGAAAATTGGATCCCCTGCACGAAAAGCAGGAAAATTGAATCATAATCGGTTATTATTGCCGCAGTGATGAGAAAAAAAATACTAATTTGGCAGCGCTTTAATCTCGCCTTTGTACATGTCAATTGTTGCCAGGGATAAATATAATAAAGGGCGGACCATTTTTTTTATATGCCCTCAAAAAATCAATTATCCTTCCTGCGCAGCTTTTACGACAGAAATCTATCAAAAGCCTTAATTGAATTGTATCCGCCGCCGTTGCCAGACTTTCAATCTCGCTTGCTCTCCCTGCCAGCAAGCAAGCAAGAATCCCTCCAACTTTTTGATTTAACGAACTAATTATTCGACTGTCACTGAACGCGCGGAAAATATAATAATAAAAGTGACACACGCGCGCTGGATGAGAGTTTAATCCTATTAAACTCGCGGGCGATAGACAAAATATACATCGGGCCTCACTCTCGTAATTAGAGAGTCGTGCAATAATTTATTTGTCAATTTGCAGCATGTGTGTGTGCGTGCGTGTGCATGCGAGAGAGTCTATGTGAGTCAGAGAGCGACACACACACACTCGCTGTATTTACTTTCAATTAAATCGAGCCCCTCGTACATTACATGCAATTATAATTTAAAATAAACACCAACGCTGCTGCTCTGGCAGGCTTAATTGACGCAGCCTTTGTTTGCCCCCGTTTCAATGGCTGCTGCTACTGCATGCGCATTGTGACTCGCCCCAATCATGGGCCAGCAGCTAAACGGTAAAATTTATTCAGAGTTACAATTCTAAGAATATTTTTTTCAACACGTTTGTTTCAAAAATTTTCAATTAAATATTATAATATATCTAGAATTTTTTGAAATAACTTATTTAGAGGATTTACATTTTATATTGTATTAAATTAATTTATTTAAGTTAAATTATAAGCTTTCTTTTTTTTTCAAACAATATTTATTTTAAAGTGAAAAATGTTAATTCATAAATTTTTACTCAGCTCCTTATAATACACTAAATCGAATTTATAAGATAATTCCGTCACCTGCTGTTGTGAACTTATTCTTAAATGGAAAAATTGACGTGTTGTTGAACAAGATCAAAATGTACAACTCATAATATTATTTGAAAAGCACGAGTAAATAAAATGGTTAAAAACAATAATTACAAACAATCAAAAGTTTGTATCATTATAATATCAAACAGTAGGGAAGAACTTATAAATTTGGAATATTTATAGCGTTATTAGATGTGAGATTTTTCACATTTTATATTTCAAAGTTGTCTGACCTGACCGAGAGGAGTTCTTTAAAAGCAATCAAACTGAAATTGAGGAAAAAGCACCTCGGATCTGTTTGCTCAGTTTGGGGCGAGAGACGTTATCAGCATCCCATTTGGCTGGCGCGAGAGAGAGAGTGTTGTAAATTGTGTGCAGCGTCGGTGTTGACTTTGGGCCGAGCATTCCCACGTCAAGTTTGTGCCCTCACCTCCATATCTCGCTGAACCTGCCTGCCAGTTTATTTGCGCGACTCCACGAAGAAAGAAAGAGAGAAAGAGCCCCTGTGTTAAGTCGAGGGCTAATTGATTTACAACTTTTTGCTCTTAAATTCACGCCGCATAAAGAAAAGTTTGGAGGGGCGGCGAGAGAAATAAAGAAAAAAAAAAGAGTGGAGAGAGCACTTAGTTTTAATTATCCGCGAGAGAGCGACGCGTCCTCTCTGGCGCGCGAAAGTGGCCCTATGCAAATTTGACCTCCAAAGGGTCACATTCAGCCGATTATCCAATGTGTTCGGAGTTGGGGGCTGTTATTACGCCCACTTGCGCGCAACGGAAGTAGGCGAGCTATCAAATTAACACGATTGTTTGAGTACGCGAGTCGCTCTGGCTCCCAAAAGTATGCGCTTGTGTGCCAAAGGCTCTCCCTAGCTGTGTGTATAAGCTTATCAAAAAAGAAGAGAAGAAGTGCGAGTTGGCTCAAGAATAAGACGAAGCTAAATAATAGGGATCCTTGTGCTGTGTGTGTTTGTCCAGGTTGTGTGCGCACATCTTCGGCAGATGGTGTAAAGGCGATTATAGCAAACAAACCGGCTGGGTTTATTTGTTGAAAATCTTGCTCACAAGAGATGTGAATTTCTCAAAGGACGAAAAGTGCACTTCCGACCACCGAGGGAGATAAAACCAACAGTGAAAGTTTTATTCATGAAATTGAAAACACACAACATTGAGTAAAAAAAGGAATGAAATATATATTGTTTATTATTGTAATATGCAAACAATAGTTTAAAATTTTTCAAATCTACTTTACATTGGGAAAATTTTAGAGAAAGATATCGAGTAATTAATTAAATAAAAATTTAGCAATTCGATAAATGGAAATTACGATAATCAATAAGCCGATTTTTTTTTAATTTATGCTCATCACTCAATATTATTATTTTATTTTATTAACTTATTTTTTTGCTCTTTTATTTTACACTAAAGTTGCAATCCAGAATTTTGTTCATATTTATTTTTTCGAAATTATTTTCAAATTCCACTAGGTTAATTTGATCGAGTCTAAGTGGTTGTTAAATTTAGCCCCTGCACAAACTCTCCCCAAGTGGTGGCCGGGCGGGCACTTGAGGCAGGACATTTTGAAGTTCAAACGAGAGGCGAAACTTTTGACTCAATTGACTTTTGCCGCTTTATCGAGTTACCCCGCGCGTATACATGTATTAGGTTATTGAAACTCGATCCGCGCTCGCTCGCTCGCTCGCATGCAGCGGCCGCTCTAGCTCGGTATATGGAGAGATGCCACCCCCGGTGAAATCGAATCCCCTGATTGAATTTGCTTATTCAGTCAAGCACCACGCAATTACGCACTTAGCTCGATCGACAATATCGCCGCCGCGCGTATAATGAACTCATGAAGCGGGCCGACTACTCAAATGGCCGCGCCGAAATTAAACGCTCAAAATGGAAAATTGGCTGGCGGTGTTTCCATTATCTGCCTCCCTGCGCGCCTTGATATTTTATAATTATACGCACACATGGCGGCGGTCGGATTAAAATAAGCTTTAATTAATAAGAGATTGGGTTTTGCGCGCACATAATACGATATTGCTACAAAGGCTGGCTGGCTGGCGAGAGAGGGGTGTCATTATATTAGAGCGACTCGGCGCGTTTAATCTGGCGCGTTCTGCAATCAAGCGTATACTCGCCGAGTAATTGCAATCCAGAGAGAGAGAAGGCTCTGTTTTAGATTGCCTCGGCCAACCCACCTCTTTTTCAGCCACCCCTTTCGAAAGAAGCAAGGCCTGGGGAGGAAATTAGGAAGATTCATGCCACCCCCGCCTTAATTCTCGCCAGCCAATTTTATATACTTTTGTTATTGAGCCATAAATTCTTACTTTTGTTGTCTTTAGTTAATTAAAGTGGCTCGCGTGTATTTACACCGCTTTAATTCGTTTAATTGGCTTTTTAATTAAAAACCGGCGCTTGTCGCTCGATTCAATCCGTGATGCGCCGCATTTTCTTCAAAAGTGAAAGTTGTTTTTCAATTAAGATCTCCATCCGTGTTATTATCAGCGGCAAATCTCTCCCCCTGAGAGCATGAGAAAGGAGAGGAGGCAAAATGAATTTTAGCGCTTTAGCCGGGGCGGATAAAAAAATTGCGGTGGCCTTTTTCCGACGAAAAGTAATTTTGGAGAGGGTGAAAATAATGTAAAAAAAGCGTCAGAAAATGAGAATCCCATAGTTAAAATCCTGATAGATCATTACGATAAGATTCAAGCCTCTTTTTTTTTTAGAAAATTGTTTTTATGGACAATAATTGAGCTGCAAAAGAAATTGCAAACTTTGGAAAATTTAAATTTGTTGATGTGATTATGAACTTAATGATAAAATCTCCCAAGTATCTTACGAATGTTTATTAATTTTTTTAAGCTTTTCAGATTTTTTAAAGGCTGCAATAATTACTTTTGAATTTAATAAAATATTTGACAAATTTATCAAAAATTTAAAGTTTTTTTCATCAACCATTATTTTCAGTCAAATTTTAAAATAAAATTCATTACTAGAGCAGGGCCTTTCAGATTTGAAGCTACCAGCAATGATTAAAATTGGCCTCTGAAGAGTTCCACACTCCAAACACAAATTATGTTTGTGCGGTTGAGAGACAGAATTAGAAATAAATCTAATTAAGTCTGCTCTCGAGAGAAGAAGTTGTACAAATTAGTCTGGGGGTCTGAATTTAATTGCTCGGATCGCGAGTGCATGAAATTTTGATTCGCTTAAGATTCGGGGCATGTGTTTAATTATACAGAGCGGGCATCATCTTTTATTTCATTTCCCCTATCGCACTCTGCGAAAATTGGATGGCAGCCCCTTTGTGCTGCTGCTGCTGCTGCAGTCCTCCCACGTTGTTAATATCGCACCAGGCATCATTCCACCTCTCCACCGCCGACCGCCGCCGCCGTCGCTTCTCCTCCGCCAAACTAATTACATTATTGACTATTGTGACGTTACAAAACCAATTTTGTGGTAGCGAGCGAGAGTGAGGGGCTCTGCGGATTCCTAAACGCCGCCGCTTGATGGGAATTATTTTATAACACGCGCCAGTCTTCGTTATATACGCACGCATTTGTGTATTATGATTAGGAAAATGAGTCATGAAACGCACTCCTTAATTGCAAACTTCAATTTCGCCAAATTGACTGCCGCTCTAATGGCTCCGAATTTAATTAATTTTTTTACCCGAGCGCTGCCGCTGTTTCGTTATAATTACAATTCCTCCCCGCTCGGTTATTCCATTGAGTGCTCGTGCATGTTTATTTCAGCATGTACAATTTATTTTTTGCGAAGACGGAATTGATTCGAAACGGCAAAAGCAAATAATTGTATTGGCTTCTTCTTCGTTTTCCGCGGTGGAACGGTAAAAAAATATCGCCGGAGTTGATTAAAAAAGGAGTTTGGCGCGCGCGATGTAATCAAAACCAATAAAAATTATCAAGGGAATACAAAGGCAAGCAGCAGGTAATTCTTCGGGAAATGGAACTCTCCCTTTTGCGGCGCCGCCTGCATTCAGTCGTATAATTAAAAAATTGATTCTCTCTCTCTCTCTCGTGCTATACTGAGGGACATAACTTTGCAAAAAGCAATCTGCGGGCCCGAGATGAAACTTGACTACGTGCTGGTGTAATCGAAATTGCGTGCTGTTGTGGAAACCACATTTATAAAGGTTATAATTGCATTTATTCCGGCGGCACCAACCCCTTTTGTGATTAGGAAGCGTTTTTTTCCCATATTAAAAAAGTGCTGCGATTCTTTTGTGCGCGCGCCGAGATAATGAAAGTTCGCGAAAAAAATGAGAGTTTGAAAGGCCTCGCCACGTTGCTAAGCAAAAATGAGAAGGACTGATTTGAGCCACTCAACGTCAATGAAAATGAACTGCCTATTATAGAGATCGCGGGGCTCACAATTGAGAATCCACTCAGAAATTTTTCAATATTCATTCAATTTCCCTTGCGATCGGAAGAAGAAGTTCGTATTTTTTCTGTATAAATAAATGCTGGTAATTCTGGTATTATGAGGGTAATAAAATTGTTACATATTTTTTTGCCGTAAATATTTCAGCAACTTGAAAATTTGATTGGAAAATTTGTATAGAAGCCTTTTTTCTTTTAAATTTGACAATAAATTTTTTTATTTTAATTTAACAGAGAGGTTTGTTCTATTTAAATTTAAGTGCCCCAATATTCTTAATAATATAAGACCGCATTTGCTCAATATTTAAAACGATTTTAAAGAAACATAAAGAAGAAGTTTTTGCTGAATAAGCAGTCTCTGCTTTTCTTTGTCGGTTTAATTTTTATCAACTTTCTTAATATACAGAAATGTGACAAATATTTTGCTTTTTTATTAGCAATAAAATCAACTTACGAAATCATCGAGGTAAAGCAGAATTAAAATTAAATTTGGTATTTAATAAAAAATTTCTGTTTCTCTAAAATCACAAAATTGGCCCGCTTGAAAAAATTATTAATTTTGTCTCAATTTTCCCTCCATTTCTTTACTTTTTACTTGCTTTGTTCAAATTTTCCATATGGTTGAGATTATTGGTTTCTTTCATTAATTCTTAAAAGAAATCTGGAAATGTTTTCTGCCGAAAATCCAAACCATATGTGTGTGGCAATCTGACCGCTGCTCACCCTTTCGAGTCTTTCGCCTGTAGGAAAACAAAAGTGGCCAGCTCTGCTCTCTGGACCACCAAACAGGACTCGCTACGGGTGGTCTGCTTTTGAGACACATTTTTGCTAATCGTGAAAGCAAACACTAAACAAGGGCAGCAGCATCCTCGACGGATCTACAAGTGGTTCCGGTGTATCAGAGAGAGAGAAAGCCTGGGGTGGGCGAGGTCTTTATCTTGTGACAGCCACTCGAGAGCTCCACGGCTGAATGACATTTCGAGTGCAGCGCGCAGCAATCTTCCCCAACCGGTTTAAATAAACATTTTCCGTCGTCATCTGAAGAAGAGAGGCAGGCGCACTCCCTTAATTTAGCTGCACTCGTCTCTCGCATCAAGGCTTGATTGTGTGCCTTTGACACGGCCAATCAGCTCAAGATTCCTAGCAGATATAATAATATTTCTGAGTTACTTTCAAAATGATATGGAAATAAATATACTCAGGAAAAATTCGCTTATATGATTTTTAAATGGCCTTTGGCAATAATAATGACAATGACAATGGATTTCTGAAAATTAATTAATTTTGATTTAAACTTTGCGAATAGTAAAAAAAAAAAACTGGTGGCCGTCAATATAGAGCTATTATTTCAGTCAGTTTATTTACTGAAGTTTAATGAGATAATTAAAGCAATAAAATTTTATTCAATTTAGTTTTTTTATATAAATTAGATTTAAACCCCAATTTTTGAGCTAATTATGCTTATAAAATTGAAAACAGGCCTTCAAAGTCTCCATTTTTGATAACAAAAAATTGACGTTCCCCCAGTCTGGAGAGAAAATTGAATTGAAAATCCCTGCCTTGAGTGATGCGTTCCTTGGCGATCCAATTTAGATTTGGAAACTGGCAAGTTTTTTGGCAGAATATGTATAGATTGGAGGAAAAGGCCCAGCCGGCGGCGGTGATTTTTGCCACAATGAGAAAGGAGCATCTTTGGCGATTCCATAATTCATGCTCTTATCATGTGTTTTGCTGGCGCCTAACGTCATTGTGGTCGGCCGCATAATCTCGACGTGCCCCTGTTTGGGCCACATAAAGAGAAAGATGAAAAGTCTCTCCCCCCTTTTCTGGCCCAAAGTTATGTGCGCGCCACGCTGTTTTATCATATTTATCCGTCAACATTAATGGAAATTTCAATCTATAAAAGGCCCTGCTATACTCTCTGTGAAAAATGCGCATGATGTATGGATTCAATTTTGCTTTCTTATGCCTAGCCGGCGAGCGAGGAATTCATTCTCTGCACGCCGTAGCTCAACGGCAACAATTGCAATTTGATAGCGCGCCCTTTTTTTAGTCGTCTCTACAATCTCTGGCAATCTCTCTGGTAAAAAATGGACCAAAGATTCCATTCCAGTTGAGGAATTGAACAATAACAACATAAGCGTCTTTAATAAGTATCTGATTGTATCTGATTTTTGTGATTTCTATACGAAGATAGTTTTGCCGCAAACAGAAAATCTACATCGGTATTATAACAATTATTTAAGTTCTTAAATTTAAATCTTCCAAGAACAGTATTTAAAATATATTTATTTTTATCAATACTGAGAAGACTGAGAAGAATAAATAATAAATATAATAAAAACTTATTTAATGCAATCTTTTCTTGCGTTTGTAATATTATAAATTAAATGATTATAAACGTTGTTTTATGTTTTATATAAAATTGTTAAACTTATTTGAATGAGATTTTTTTTATTTATTTACGATTTTCTAACAAATAAATATTGTACTCGAGAGTTGAACCAATTGAAAGTAATAATGCAGGTTATCACCTTATTTTTGTCTTGTAACATCGGTTACTACAGAGGCGCAGGTTCTGAAATTTTCTATGTTATTCTGATTCAAATTCAAAGTTATGAGTAGACAAAAAATATTACTATTCGATAAAATTCATCAAAACAAAAAATTTTGAACAAAATCTATTTATTTAAAAACTATCTAACTAAAAAATCAACTTATTGGTCAACTATGTTGTAAATATGTAAACACAAATAATTTGAAACATCCTGCAAGCAGACTTTTTTATTAGTATATCAGTTGTGGACAAAATATTATTTCTTCTTTACACAAATAAAAAACAGCTTTGAGTAAAATTATGCCATCATTAACATTTGTACAATTTCCATCAAGAATAAAAAGGAAGCAAGCTAGATTTCGTAATAGGAAAAGTACAATCAGAGATCTTTTCCAGCCGCGCATTTCCCAAGATTTTATCCTCCTGCATTAATATGAAGAGAAAGGCAATTTTCTGGAATCTCCGTAGAACTTCTTCTCATTACTCAGCGGTTTCAAAAGCAACAAATGGACGTGCGGAAAGAGATACTGCGCAAGAAAGCATTTCCCCAGAAGACACACAATTGCGATTAGTGCCTGCATCCTCTCGGTGCATCTAATGGAGGCGCTGAAAGAAACCAGAGCACCACGTCTTTTTTCTAATACATATAAAACCGCACCGCACACACGTATATAAATTTAATATCGATTTGGCAGCGAGAGCAGCCATTGTTTTTTCACTCGCCGTGCTGGGGCGCAAACAATTCCGCCGGGGATTTAGCTATTGCTTTAATGAATAACACACGATTACCGCTAGTGTACAGGGGAAGACATTACACTACCCCAGATGCGTCGCCATGGCAACCCTCGGTGGCAACTTTTAATCTCTTGATGGAGCAACACTGGCCATTTAGCGGCGGCCACCTTCCTTAAAAATACAATTTCCTCTCTTCGGCAGGAGAGAGAGAAAAAAAAACAGCAGAGAGCTTTATTGCTCGGCCAATCCGCCCTGATTGCTGGCCAGATCAAATTTGGCGAGGCTTAATTAAAATTAGCAGCGCAATTTCGCCAGAACCTTTCTTCCAAACAGTTGCTTTAATTGGTGTCTCTTTTTTCTTGGTGTTGACAGGTGTCCGCGGAGGCAGGATGACGATGGACGTGAAGGCGGAACCGCAACATAACAAGGGCTCACAAGAGTGTGCTGGATGTGGGAAGCGCATCACTGAAAGGTAAAATATTCTTTTAAAGTAATTGTCGGATCATTTGCATAGCTAACTATATAAAATTTACCCAAATTAATGTAATTTTTAGTAATTTTGAATATCAATTTTATAAAATACTATTAATGATATTATTATTAATGTCGATTTTTATGAACACTTTAATTAAATATTTAATTGTTTTTAATCATTAAATGTATTTATTTTATATTTATTAAGACTTAAAATTCTTTTAATCTAATGTATCTACGCACAAACCTGTAAATCCTGATATTATTGTAAAAATGTAATTGGAAATGAAGCGATCGAGCTTTTCCTCGTTGCAGAAAAATTGTTTTTATTCATATGGCCATTTGTTTTTGACCATTTGTTTTTGAATAAAAACAATTTTTCTGCAACGAGGAAAAGCCCGATCGCTTCATTTCCATGATCATCTCCTCGAGTGTCAACTTCTTCAAACAAAAATGTAATTGTTTAAAATTTAAATTTTTTGTCAGGATATCATATTATTTGTCAATAAGGCGCAGAATTGCAAATACGTCAATATACAACTTTTCTGGAATTATTTACTGGCTGTTTCAATTAATGATGTTGAATAATTACAATACATGAAACATTATAAAATTAATGAATTAAATTTACAAAATTTAGTGATTTATAAATGAATTTACTTTTTGAAGAATGTGACTAATTGTGAATGGAGAATAATTATTACTGATAAAAATATTTGATAAACCAAAAATTATTAAAAAAGGAGAAATTAGTTATTAAAAATTTATTATTCTTTTAATATAAAAAATGTGTATAATCTTTACAGATTCCTTCTGCAAGCGTTAGACAGATACTGGCATGAAGATTGCCTCAAGTGTGGATGCTGTGACTGCAGACTAGGCGAGGTCGGCTCAACTTTGTACACAAAAGCGAATCTCATTCTCTGTCGCAGAGATTACCTCAGGTTGGTGAATGAAATTTACAATCAAAAATGAATCAGTTGGAAAGCTATTTTGGTCAAAATCAAATTCATATCAAGTCGTTATTTGAAGTCAATCGTATAGGTTGACATTCAAATTGTTAAAACCAACACTTTAAAACTGAACAAAAATTTTAGTAAAACACAAATCTCCATTAAACTTTTTTAGTTTAAACTGACTTGTTTCAAAACCTTTTTTGCACTTTGCCGCTGATGATTAATATTAATATTTAATTGTTTTTGTTAAAGAAAGACTTTTTCTTCGCCTTATCAAATTCTGTTTTTTTGAAAATTAAATTACCTTCACTCATCTTCTGTTCTCTAACATTTGAATCCAATTTGTCTGCAGGTTATTTGGAAACACAGGCTACTGCGCAGCTTGTGCGAAAGTGATCCCCGCGTTCGAGATGGTGATGCGCGCCCGGTCCAACGTGTACCACCTCGAGTGCTTCGCCTGTCAGCAGTGCAATCACAGGTGAGTTCGCAGCCCTCAAATTGCTCCCTTTCTTTTTATTTGAATTATTAAAAGCGCGGTCCGGCTGACATCGGAATTGCGGCGCGGATTTCACTGCAAAGCCATAAAACGCAGGGCCCGGGAAATATTTAAAAGAAAAGGTCTCAAAGTCGTAAAACAAAAGTGTCCAGGCCATGCAAAACGCGGAGAGGAACATTGATTTGATGGAGTCTTGGATTTATGGGCACGCCATGCAGTCTCTCTCTCTCTCTCCTCATGATTTAGTAATGCATCTGGGCCGATTTAAATTTCCATTTGTCCATTCAGCGCAAATGTATTGGACTTCAAAAGGAGGAGCCATTCTCATCAGATATATGGCAGACAGTTTGAAAGAATATCTCGGGGAGCAGGAAACTTTTATGGCCGCCTGTATATAAGTCGTTCTTTCTTTATGTAATATAAAAACGTATTAGAAATAAAAGTTTTGCTGTATATCTCCAACTGCCGCTATAGTCGGGCGAGGAAAAAAGGGAAACACGGTTACAGATACATAAATTGCTGTGTGCGATGGAATCAATAAAACGCTTCACATATTATACAATCGGCCGGAATTTTTTTAAGTGAACATCACTCGGCGTTATTACGCTCGTGTAAAGTGAAGCAAAGTGTACTTTGTTTGTGTGCGAAATGCAGCTTATTTCTCTCCAACGTTGTAATAAATAAGGAGCACATTTTCAATTTGAGCCCGGGTTACGGCCGAGAACAATAACGTGGAGCGGCGAAAACCTTCTTCCGTCGCAGATATGAAAATTATACCGCGCGCGCCATGTGCTGTTTGCAATATTGCTTCTTGACACTACACACTTTTGCCCATTTAAGCGATAATATTATACGTCGCATTTCGAACAAGAGAAAATCGAAATCTCACACGAGCCTATACCAAAATTACGTGCAAATTACCTTTTTATGGGGATTATTTACCTATGCATAGCTCAAAATACAAAATTTTTCATTGAATATGGTTTTTTATTTAATTCAAAGCCTTTCAAAAATAAAATGACGTTCAAAACTTAATTTAACTAATAAATTTTGCTTGATAATCATTGCTTAACAAATCAGATTAAATAAATAAAAGTAATAATAATATTAACAAAGCCCTCACTTTATTTATTCAAATTATTGGAATTTAACTTTTAAAAATGCTCTGAATATCTTTAAAAAAATGAACCAATCTCAGTCCTTCACGGCTCTGCATTGGGAATTTTATTCAAACTTGTTTAATATCACGGCTTTTGTCAGTTCAATTTCCGCGCATTGCTTATTAATGAAGTGCGAACCGGTCAAATCTGGAGCCGCATACGTTGCGGAAGAGGTGTGTGTGCCATCTTTTCGATTTCATTTCATGCACACACTCTGTTGGCGCGCGCCGAGCCGTGCATTCGCACTAAGAAATCCAATTTGATTTCCATGAATATTGAATGGACAAATCTAATATCAGCTGCCGGCGGGCGAGTCGAGGCTGAAGAGAGAAAATGAAAGATGCTCACGCGATTACTCGGCTGCATTATGGATGGGCTTAATAATTTCAATTTATCGCTGCAGTGATTAATTGGAAAGCAAGGAAAGGTGTGCATTTTTGCGAGAGGATGAATGAAAACGGTCATTGCGCAAAAGCAGGCAGGTGTCCCTGCCGGCGGCGGCCCCAAAGTCTTGTGTGATTTCCCAGAAGGCCGCTAAATGTTTTGCCAGACGTACCTACCAACTCGCGGCGCAAGCCCGACCGGCGCCTTCCTCTCTCCTCGGTACACAGATCCATTTCAATCTCCCAGTAATAGCAATATCACAAAACTACTTTATACGCCACCTCGAGTGTGCGGCCCTCCAACTTTCTTTCTCTACTTTCGGCGAGAGAGAGTGCAAAGGCAGCTCCGGGCCTGAGAATTAATATCGAAAAAAGCACTTAACGAAATTGTGTGTCAGAAATTTAATCAATACACCTGAATTATGTATCGGGGAAATATTATACGGCTTTACTTAAGAGTCCAGAAGAACTTGCTGGAATGGAAAACTCTAAAATTTGAAGGAAGGGTTTTTTTTAAATAGCCCGAAATAACCGAGAGTATGAATTACTGTATTTTCTGCAACTACTGTGTGAAATTAAGAAAAAAAAAATTTATCTTCTTAAACACTATAACTATACATTTTTATTCTTTTGAATGAAAGTGCTTCACAATCAAGTTAGCTTACGCCAAGTTTTGAAATTAAATCAAGTATCGACGAAAAAACCAAACTTATTTAGGATTAAATTGTTTACATATTTTCTTCTATTAATTCATAATATTTCATCTCAGAAGCAGAAAACATAATCTAAATACATGTAAAATAACGAATAAAATTGTTTAAACTAAAAATGATTTGATAAATGAAAGAATATAATATAATTTAAATAAAATACCTTTTTAAATGACAGTATATTATTGAAGAAAAAGCAAATAATAAAAATTCAAGGTAATATCAGCGCAGGAATAACAATTTCATTTTCATCTGTCACTTAATTTAAAGAATATATAAAATTTTGAAACTGCCTCTGGTGATTATAACACACATTAAATTTAAAAATAAATAATTTTAATACAATTACACAATATTGTATTTGTTAAAATTAACTTTTATAGGTTTTTCCTGATTACACATATATTTTAAATTTTGGTATTGTAATATTTTCTAATAATCAATTACATTGTATATTAGTTATTTACTTAAATCAAGAGAATTACAAAAAAATTATTTCCTTGTTTAATTTATATTTTAATAAGTATATCATAAACCCCAGTACTGGCAAATGATCAATTAAAATTGAGTTCACATCTACTGGATGTTATTTTGATATAGGGATAGGAAACAATCATAAATATATTATGAATTTAGATGCTCAAACTCTCTTGGAGTAATCAGTAATTATCTCTGTTACTTTTAATTGCTTTAGGAAAATTAGTGAAATGAAACATGAATCAACTTTTATTAATGTGACTCTCAAAACATTTAAAAATCAACCTCTCAGCGACTTATTCAAGTTAAATAAACCGCGTGGATTACACAGAAAATTTGAAAACTACCACAAAGATTTTATTGTTCAAAAATTAATTTAGACGTTTTTATATAGTTATAATATCTATAAAATAATAACCATTCAACTATTTTATTTAGAGGAATTTATACATACCTATAATAGAGTTCAAAGTTAACGTACATTTTGGAATTCTGAACTTCATTTCAAATACACCTCCATTAAGTGACTAGAAATTTAAGCAATGCGAATATCAGAAAAGTTTATTATGAGAGGGTGCATTGCGTATATAAAAAGTGAAAAATTCAGACGGGCACTGTCGGAAAATTATGCGTTGTTTAATTAGGGTTTAGTGCAAAATGAAAAATAAAAAGGGCGAAATTAAAAACGGCGGAGAGTGAGAGAGAGAAGGAAATAATAAAAATCTTGACAAGCGAGCGCGGCCGAGAACAATAAAAAGCGGCGGCCCCGTATTAAAATAAATGCAGCAGCATGGGAGGGCCAAACAAAGGGGGTTAGCAAAGTAATTAGTTACGAGGCTCGGAAAATATTAAAGCCATCTTAATGAAATGGGGATTTGCTACCTTTGTTCGGCGCGCACACGCGAAAACGCGCCTTTTTCGCCGCGCGCTCCATTTCACGGGGCACAAAAAAAATCCAATTATCATTATTATTTTACATCAGCACCTAGCAAAATAAAAGGAAACGCACACGGCGGCGCCAGCTATTCATTACATTTCAGCAAACTTTTGTTCGCCGCCCTCGACGCCGGGCGAATGTTTATTCTGGCGGAGGGAACGGCGCGCTAATTAATTAAAACTTTTTAATGATTTATTTGCGCTGCGATTTAATTCTTTGAGTTTGACGCGCTAATTAAAATTCGCCCGTTTGCTCGCAGGTTTTGCGTCGGCGACCGGTTCTACTTGTGCGAGAACAAAATCCTGTGCGAGTACGACTACGAGGAGCGACTCGTGTTCGCCAACATGGCCTACAACCCTTCCAGTCTGGCCCACCTGAAGCGACAAGCAAGCCAACTGCCGGTAAGGTACTCTCCCTTTTTTAGCCTTATTTTAGCCTCACATTCACTATAACGCGACATCCAGCTACACGAAAAATTCAAGAGTGAGCCAAAATTTATCCTCAACTTTTAATTAAAAATGGAATCAAGGGGATAAAAATAAAATTTAACCAGCTTTCAAGTAAAAGAATTTACCGATAATTCTTCTTTTCTCCAAGGGCTGCGCATCCCAAAATTATGTTGGTACACGGCTGCCGTCAGAGCCATGGGGCCTTATGGCTCGGGCGGAAGACATCTTTTTTTTTGGCCAACATAATAGAGCTGATGCTCGGCCTTTGCTTTTCTCCTTAATTTTCCAATATTTGTTTAAAAAAATAAAAATTAATTTAAATTAACGTAGAAATAAATAATCAAAGAATAGGCTGGATGAATTTATCTGTCCTCTAGATGAACCTATAAATTTTTCATTCATCACCTAATTAATATTATAAATTAATATACACATGAAATAATTCATTATTCTGAAGATTCGTTGTTAAAAAAAGTAAAATTTTTTTGATTTATAACAATTAGAAATTGCTGCCAACTAAACAATCAAATTTAAAAAATCTGGTAAAATAAAGGCACAATTTTTCCCCACAATCATTCTTAATTTATGAAATTTTCTTAATTTTTTTTTTTACTGATTTTCAATAAGGAATCTGATGCATTAGAGACGAGATGACACCCCGTTGCTCGTCTGCATCTTGATAGAAATTCTTTTGTAAGTTTGAACTCCGTCAACGTCCCGTATCTTTGGTGTGTTGTGTATGTCATATTCCGCACGGCAGTTTAGCAATTTGTAAGCAATGCTCATTCGCAGCGAGTACACGTCATAAATTACGCAAGTTGGTGTGTAATAAAGGAACATGTCATATTATAACGCCTTGCTCGGCTCTCACACTCATAACACACAGCAGCACCAAGTTATTAGCTAATTCTTGAGCGGCGTGAGGGATGACGTGTTAAATTAAATTCTCGTCTCGCGCGCGCCCCGCCAGTACACACGAAACGCGGCGCGCGAGCGTGGCCTAATGAAATTCCGATTTCATAAAAAAGGCAGGCATTCTTGCATTTTATTAAAATGCCCTCGCCGTCAGCGAAAATAATTACAGCGTATTAATCAAGGTGATAATTACGCGGCGCTTATTACCAGCGAACACGAGTTATATTTCATTTTCACAACACACACCCCCTTGCTTGGGAGGCTCCCTCAAGGTTGGAACCTCTCTTGTTATTTCTATCTGCAGAGAAACTGCCCAAAGATGACCTTAGCGCTAATTTAAGAAAAACACTAAGATTGGTGGAGTTAGTTAAGATTTTTAAATCTCCCAAAAAATTTATACATTTAATACTGAGAAGCTTTAAAAATCATTTTTCCCTTTTTAGAAAATTAATTGAATCACAATTAATTTGATATCTGATTCAGTTATTTTGCCACAATCTAGCAGAATCCCTATAAAGGCAATTTTTTTTCAAAATTTATTGAAGTGAAATAAAATTCACATAGATAATTAAATTTCTTAATTGTTTTACAGTCTGTTTTTTTTTTTTTTTTTTTTATTAATTTTTGACTTATTTTATTACATTGGACTTATTTAATACGTAAATATCTATTGTTGGATTGAAACATGGATCAAATTAAAGTGAAAAAATTTAAAAATTTATTTCACAGTTTGATAAATTGATTGATAATTTAATAAAAATAATAACAAGAGGAGAGAATTTTTGTTATTTTTGTTTGATAGTAATTAATTTCTACCTTGCGAAGTTAAGACTGAAAATTAATTTAGGACCACACTCTGAGAGGTTTTGAATTAAGTGGGTCTCTTCCGTCGTAGGAAAGGGCTTGTTTCATCTCTGGTGTTTCGAAGCGCTTGCTCGCTCGCTCGCCAACCACTCAAATTTTAATGAAATTGTCCAAAATCCACGAGTGCACTTCAGCATGGTCGGCCGTGTGCTGCAAAGGCAAGAAAACTAATAAACGCGCTGCAGCATTATTAGAAACACTAACCGGATGTTAGTGGCCTAACTTTCAGGGGGTGTTACACTACACACACATCATACTCTCAGCCACGAGGATGTTAATTAAACCAGCCTTTGTAACTGAATACAGTCGACAAGCATTCCACGGGCCTCTCACTCAGAGGGATGGTTCTGTGCGCGCCTCATTGGCATTCACAGTTACAATTTCCAGAGACGTACGCGTGGTTCTGCAACTTCAAAGGTTCTTTTTTCCTGGAATATAGCGAAACAGCTTTCAATTCATATAATGACGACTGAGAAAATTAAAAAAAAAACAATTAAATTAATGTAAAATATGTACATAATGTAAAGAAATTCCTCTAATAATTTTTGTTTAAAATGTAAAAAAAATGTGTCAACCAACCGATATCAAAAAACATTTAAGGGAACATTTTTGCTTTGCGCTACAAACAATATCCTCTAGTTTCTTGCATATTTTTATTTGATATGAATGTCATGAAGCATCCTGTATTAGAACTCCAAAATATTATTATTGGCATTTGTGGTAAAATAATGAAGATTTATTGTAATTAATTAAGTCGGAATCATATGACGAAAACATTCTCTCAACCACTTGATGAAACGCACATATATGTATGTGTTTAATCTTACATTTACATTACAATTGGCGTCAGGTTTTACTTATAGTATGTTTAAAATTTCAACTAATAAGAACTAGTAAAATCTCTAAAAAGTCAAAATAAAATAAAGATTTTTAAATTAAATTATAAACTATAATAAAATATAAAAAATTAAAATATTTAATGTATTAAATTTTATCAAAATCAATGGTTGTGAAAAATTATAAAACCAGTTTTGATTTTTTTTTTTTTTTATTGTATTGTCATTCAATTGTACAAATACGATACATAAGCACTTGACTGATAAATTAAATTATCAATTTTATCGCTAGGAATTACTTGTTTTAAAGCGTTATGCAACCCAAATGCAGACGTGCCACGCCGGTTGCATATCCAGCAAAGTGGAAAGAGGAGCCGACGAAACCTTTCAAGACCCTCTTGCTTTTCCGCCGTAAGAAAAAGATCGCGAGCGTTCCGAGCAGCGCGGGCGGCCAAATAATTAAATTCGAGCACAAAAGATTGGAAGCCCCGAGATTGGTCTGATTAAAAAAGCGGCCGTGGCTGCTGAGGGTGATTGTTATAAACGCCATAAAGGTCGCTGGCTGCTCGTCATTTGGCGTATCTTCATCATCAAAAAGGCAGCAGCTCCTCTGGCGGTGCGCGGTCGGCGCTGTGTAATAACCGCCGCCCACCCCCGACTGAATAACGCCGCCGCCGCCGCCGCACAGTTATACACACCATCAATAATAATGACCGCGCTAACGAGATGGAGCGCCTATCGGGTGTCACTCATTCCGACAGGCGCCCGTAATTATTTATCCGACACTAACAGCCATGGTAAACGACGAGAGAGCGAGCGAGAACGAGCCGGGCACCAGAGAAACCCGTATCAAAACAGACAGACGTGTCACAAAGCTCAAAAGGAATTAATGGCACATTTTATAATGTGCACAATAACGCGAGAGCGAGCAAAGCGCGCCCACCCATCCGACAAAGGCACAGCAATCTCGGATTTTAATGAGGCGTCACTCGTTGTCCTCGCCTGCAATTATACCCTCGTCGCCTCTCAGTTTCACACTCATTGTAAGCCAAATAGTTCTGGTCCGAAAATGGTTAAAGAGTCCTAGAAATATATAATTTAATCTGGGGATTTATTCACAAAACAATTTTTATTTTCAAAAATCCATTTACTTTAAAAAAAAAAGAAATAAATAAATGTAAAGTGCCTCAAGAGCTATAAAAAAACGTTAATTATTTATCATAAAATTGATATTGTTGTTGGATTGACAGCATTTTATTAAATGCAACCACAAAAAGAACTTTTAGTTTCATATTTATTAATGTATCACCGGGTATTCTCTGCCGAAATACATCATCCATAAATTCAATAAACTATAAATTACTTTAATTACTTAAATAATATTCACTTTTATCAACAATTTCTATATAAACTAAAATCATGGAAGTCAATATTTCATTATTTATAGCTGTTTCGCAATTGGTGGCATAATCAATATACTTTTGATAAGTAATTTCCTTGGCACATTGTAATATTATTTTGCAATAATTAATGTGATTAACTCATTTAAAATCCTTTCTAAATATAAGTCACACTGAAGAAACTTAATATATTTGTAAAGACAAATTAATTAATATTTATACTTGAATCTTATAATATTTCATAACAGAGAGGTATATTCAAGAGCAGTTTGTCGAGTTCTAACTATCAATTGATTCTTGATTCTTCAAATGAGCATTGATGGGCTGTTTATAAATATAATATTTAACGCAAAAATTACACATGAACGAGATATGTTGTTAAAAAAATCTATGAAAATTAAAATTTTTTCTGATATTAATGTCAAATGTTAAATTTAAACATATTTATTTATATAACCACATAATTAAATTAAAAAAAATATACAATATATATAAATTTAAATAAAAAATAATTATTCTTATTTTACTTTGAACTTTAAAATTGGACCTCTTTTTTACATTCTTATATTTCTTTATTGGGATAATTTATAAAATCTGTCATACACATAACAAAATTTTTCTTAATTTGAAAATTAATTTTAAATTTTTACAGACGCATTGTATGGATGAAAATGAAGATCAATTAACAAAAATAAAATCGGACGTTTAAAATCCTATGTGAAATTAATTCTATTCACAATGATCCGTTTCCACAAAGAAAATATTTAAATACGTATTTGAAAAACACAGTTTGCAAAAATTTATTCCTTTGGCTCACTCTCATTGCTGCCACTTTTAACTGCGGCGTCCATAGAAAAAGCACTTTGTGTGTGCCAGTGATACTGGCGAGGCAGCGCGTCTAATGGAGTTTGTTTGTTTTTTGCTTGCAGCCGACCCCCCCTGGCGTGCTGAACGGCGGCGTGATGCCTCCAGGGCCGGCTCCGCGCGGCGGCGGCGGCCTCGGGGACATGAACAACAACACGTCAGGTAGCGGCGGCGGCGCGGCGGCCAAGAGTCCTGCGGGATGTTCGTCGCTGCAGCTTCAGGGTGGCAGCTGAAGACGCGGCTGCCCATCGGCCTGCAGACAAGTATACGACAAGGACGCTCCTCATTCTCTGTGTAAATAGAGCTAGGACCAACTCGCGCAGTGCGGTTTTGTGTATGTGTAAATAAAAAGTAAAATGAGAGGCAAGTCGTGGCGAGCTAGGACGGACGCACTGGTCTCCGAAAAACACTGGACCGCCAGTATAAAGAAAGAGAGAAAATTCAATGTGTTTCGTACAATGATTCTCCTCGCTTCCTGCGCTGCTTTTTGGCTGCACTTGGAGGGCGGGTTGTTTTCAGATCAGTTGAAGGTTTGCTATGAGTAGACCTTTCTTTAAGTATAGAGATCGATTACAATAATACAAACGTATTATTAAAATGCTCTGTTGACATTTTGCATTTTTAATTTATTTAATAACATTCCAATTTCTTTTGAAGTATTGAGAGTTTAATTCAATCTGTTGATTTTAATTGTGTATTTTTTTAAGCTAATAATAATAAAGAATTTTTCAAATTTCTTTTCCGAATAATGAATTGCTTTATTATCCAGGAAATTGAAAATATAAATTGAATCATTAAGAATTAAATTTCTAAAGAGCTTTTTAAATTTAAATCTGTAAAACAAACCTTGATAGCCATGGCATTTTAGTAAATATATCTTTTAATTTATTTGACCGAATCTACCAGATTCCAAAATAATGTATACAATTAAAATATAAAATAAGCCATAATTATCAACCAACTCTAATTTTTGTGTTGAACGGATTGTGTTTGCAGGTTGTAATTAATTTTTTTTCGTCTTTCAAAAATCAATTTTGCTCATTAATTTACTAGTCCTCTGAATTTTTATTTTTTAACGCCCCCCTCCACAGCCAGGCTTGGCAGCCGACGGTTTTATGGCCAACGATAATTTAAAAAATGTGTACATATAATTCGCATTCACACACCCATAATACACAAAAAAAATGTAGAGCTATTTATCAGTATAGAGGCAACTGGTTCATCAGGCAGTCGACGCATAATAACTTGCTCATTAAGTGTCGTGTTTATACTTCAGCATCGTTGTTCATTGTGCGCAGCATTAACCCTTCCCCTACTGACGGCGAGGTAAATTTCACTGTGACGTACACGCCAATTTGCGTTTTTTGTCTCTCTCGCCATAGCCATATAATTTATAAATATGCAAAAAATCTCATACACACAATTTCACCGTTGTTGACATTCTTGTTTTGCTCTTGATTGTATAATTATCATATGCGGATCCATCAGTGGCGCAGTTTATAGGTTGAAAGAAAACACAAGAATTGTTAAAAAGAAAAATGCATTTTTTGATTATTTGTTACTAGACTGGTGAAAAAGTCTGTTTTCCCACAGGAAAGATGAGTTTGTAGGCTTTTGTAGGAATGGCAAACTCTTAACAAAATAGAGTCAAAATATTTTTGCATGAAACTTAAATATTTATTTCACTCGCACAAAACATGAATCAGAATGACTAAATTCACAAAGATCGTAAAATCATAATAATCTACACATGGAACTAAACTAAAAGATCACAAAGACTTTCACCAGTCTTTTTGTTACATGTTGTAATAAAAACTTTTGTAAAATTGTAGTGCAGTATTGATATAGCTGATGTTGATTAATGTGACGCCACTCTGGATCCAGCAAATATAAATAAAAAAAATCATGCACTGTTGCTTTGCAATAGAGAGGAAGACCACACGGCAAAGGACAGCAATTTGAACCTGTGATAGCTCCTTTTACTTACGTACAGTGGAAGAAAATCAATCATTTCATCAAATAAATGGATATATAAATAGACACAAGACTTGCCTTTTCATTCCGACCCACCCATGCAAACACACAAGTTTGAGTCACGCCGAGGGCAGTTAATGGCCCTACGTCGTCTCTCATTATTTTTGTTTCAATCTGTATTAGATCTCATAAGTCATGCATTAATGTGGAGGATTATTTAATGGAAAAAGCCACCCCCCTGGAGCTGGTCACATCCTGTAGCGTGGTAGATAGCATGACCACTGATTATACCCTAAACCCATCATCCAAAACCGACTTGAACGCCGGTTTGTATTTGCGACGACCCTTCCTAGCTTTCCTTGCGCAGCATCCCGGCCAGATCCATCCCCCGAGCTAAATTATGCAGTTTGGCACACGCACCAGGGCTACTTTTCTTATCTCGGTGCGTGTGTGTGTGTGTTTTTCGAATGAAACGTGCCGCAAAAAGCTAATGGACTGCCTGCCAAAGCGGAGGAAATGATGCCAGGGCCACTTTTGTCAGCACGAATTATCAATTTGGCGGCGGCGCCGACGTCGATGTTTGTTTGCGCGCTCGCCACAAGTATGGCGGAGGGAAATTTGCCTTTTTTATGGTGGTAATGAGCTTAAGATGAAGCGCAAGAACGGCCTTGTCAAATTGCAATATTTTATATTTTTAATGTTGAGGATTTTTTTGATTGCATGCATTTTTTAAAATGTTTACAATGTAATGATATTTTTTTTTAAATTACAATTTTAATGTTTTTTCTTAACATAGTTAATTACGTAGATTTTATTAGAAAAATTAATATTTTTATTTTAATATTTTTAATTAGAAAATAAATTGTTTATATAAGTAACTTTTGAATTTACTTTTGTTCAATGTTTTGTTAAAAATTTTAATATTAAATGCTGAAATTCATTATAATCATATGCTCAACAATTTGATTATAGGTGGTATCAATTTTAACAATTCCTCTTTTGGACTCAGTTATACGTTCTCTTATGCAAATTCGTTATTGAATTCATGGAATTCATATAAATTTATTAAATTAAAAAAAAAATTGGCATAGGTTAAAATAATCTCAGGATTGTTACGGTGTGTCTGCGCTAATTCAATTTAGTCTCGGCTTATGTATAATTATTTAAATAATGTAACAAACTAAGCTCAAATTAAAATTTTCACTCAACTGCAGTCACTTCATTTTTTATTTCTTTTCAAGTTAGGTTGGGATCACGTAAATATTAAATTTTGAGAAAAAAAATTTAATCATTGTATCATAGTGGAGAATTTTCTATCAAGTGAAATTATTGACAGCAAATAACGCCTAAATTCCTCTTATAAAAATTTGAAGCTAAAAACTTTCTCCAAAGTAATTTTTCGAAAAATATTAGCAATTTGTTTCAACTACATTAAGGGGGAGATTATCTATGTTGTAAAATTATCACAATATTTCCAATGCCTAGAAATTAGTGAAATAAAATCTGATTCATTTACTGGATTTTAAATTTTTTGTAACTTTAGTTCACGTAAATTAACAATGCATGTACAAGGTTTATAAAATTTACATTAAAAATTACAAAGTTCAAGACAGATGGAAAATATTAAAAACAATGTTTAAATTTATTTATCTACTTTCTGTATTTGACCGCTGGGACGGAAAAGTCAGTCATGGGAGCAAATTAGCCGTGGGGATGAGCGGAGTCACGATTAAATCATTATTCAAAATGCACAATCTGATGGCACGTGTGTGCGTTGGAAAAGGGGTGGGTTTTGGCGGCGTTACGTACGCACACGTCGGTGTGGCTCATCCTCCCTTTTTTTGCAGAGGGTTATCTGGTCTGCAGCTGAGTGCACTCAGTCAATACCGAATAAAAGAAAAAGCAAACTCTCGCGCGCGCATCACAAAGTACCACACACGAGCTGCGAATAAGACGCGCGTATTGGAATTTGTCTGCGGTTTAATGACGCGAAAATCCCCAGATAGGCGCAAACCAAACACGACTAATGCGACGCTACTTTTGCGCCCGCCGCCGCCGAATAAGGAAATGATTTCAATTCAAAAACTTTTCCACATTATGCCGGGCGAAAGTAGTGTGTTTTTTCGCAGAGAGAGAACGATCGCTTGAGTGTGTGAGCTTGTACAAAAGTTGCAGAAAGAGAGCTGTTCGAGCTTTTATCTTTAATAGCAATGGTGTGTAAATTGAAAACTTTTATATACGCGCCCGCGCCACTTCTCAAAGTGTACTTTTAAGGGGTTTAATATAAAAAAAGTTTAAGCAAATATTATACCAAACTCTTTCACGTGGAATATATTGTGTGAGCATACACAGAGTGAACCATGTTAAATGGATCCAACGCGGGCGGGTGGCTCTGCTGGGGCGGCGAAAAAGCCATTTTTGCATCAGAAAGGCCCTTTGCGATTTCTCCTGCTGCTTTTCAGTTTGCACAGGCTTTTTTCATACAAACGATCCTCTGGACACTTTAAACTTTATTATAAAATGAGATGCATACATTTGTGAAAATGTTGAAATCTGCAGGCTTTTTATTTGATTAAATGAACAGAGAGAATGCTGAAGATTTTGAAGATTTATTTGTAAATTTAAAATTTATTTACTGTCACACATGAGATCGCAAAAAAATAAAATGTAAATGAATTTAGGTAGAGCTTGGATAAAGAAAAAATTTTCTAATTAAAAATTGAATATGTTATGTCTCAAAAATAGAAGAAAAAAAAATAATTGAATGAAAAAATATTTATTAAATGAAATCTTTACACTAATAAGCACTTTCTTCCATCTTCAAAATAAAGCTAGAATATAAATGAAAAAAAAAATTATGTCTCAATGAACTTTCAATAATTGTGTGTCAAAATTTGCTCAAAGAAATAAAAAAAGGCTGCAAAAAGATGGCAAATTGGATAATTTAAAGTTTTATTGATTCACTTTCGAATGGAAAAGATCACACTTGAAGAGACTATCATTGAGAAAAATGTGGCGCATGTTCTAAAGATAAATGGTTTCTTTTTTTTACTATTGTCTAATAAGATTCTGATGGTGATAGTAAAAATTAAAAAATGAGATATATTTTCTTCAGACACGATATATTTTCTTTAAAAAACTATTTAATTTAAGAATTTTGCATTATGAAGTTATTTAATTTAGCCATGAAAGTGCTTGTTTGCGGCACCATATTTCTTCACAAGTTCCATTCTACTCACTATTTTCGAAAATGTCTTTTCCAAAACGCATTACAGGAGAGATGCGAATTTCGAGTGCACAAACACATACTTCTAGGGTCCTTCCTCTCTCAGAGGGGATTCAGCCATCGAAACTCTTTTGCGGGTGTGCAAGAAAGTGTATATCTGCAAGAGAGAGCGCGCACGAGAGAGAAGCGGTAAAAGAGTATATTTGTGTTAAAAACGGAAATGAGGCTCGCTTTCAACTTGCCATTAAGGGCAATATAAGGAAGTGGAGTGCGGAGGGTAAAAAGCAGCGCCGAAACCAACCAACATTCTGCCTCTCATTGTTGGCGCTCCTCTAATGGTCTGACGAAGATGTTTTTCTATTTGCGGTGATAGGTCTCAGGCCCTGATGATGATGACGACCGAGACGACGACGACCGGAGCGTGCCAAATGCCGAAAGGAAATAAAAGAGCTGAAAAAGGCACCAAGATTTTCACCACAGTGGGGTATTTAATAATATCCGTTTCATTCTCTTCGTCAATAAAGGCTTGAAAGGTTTTCAAAAAATTAATGGTCAACTAACCGACAGAATAGATATCTCTAATTATTGAAGAGCTTCATGGGTATTTTTTTTAAAGAAAAGTAATCAATTTATTGAATAATAAGACTTGTAATTAGCTATTTCAGCACAGGAAATGTTGGAGCCTATTATTATAGTTAACTTTTAATAATATTTAAAATAATGTTGTTTCACATACCTTAGCGACAGCAATTTCATTCAGATTAATCTGCATTTAGCAAGTTAATAATATTAAGTATCTTGATAATAACACATGAAATTTATAATTTTTTTTTTTTATCTGGTAAATTTTGTAGTAGCTTAATGCTGAATTTTGGTGAAAGAAAATGTGAAGCAAAAATTTATTAAATAAAATATTTATAATAATTGTACGTTGATTATAAGTTATACATTAAAAATAACTTTTTTAACTGTGAAAATTGTTAAAAAAATTATATTTAAATTATTTTTATAAATTATATTTAAATTTGAAAGCAAAGAGTAATATTGTTTAAATGCTACCAGTTCTTACTGTCATTTTCCATATAAATCAAAATTATTTGACCGCCGCAGCAGTAATCGATAGCTGGAAGTAATGAAATTAATTCACGCATCGCGTATTCCGGGCAGCGAGCACATGAGATGGAATTAATTTCGGTTCAATTCCACATTGAAAACGCGACTTTCCCACACAAACACAGGCCCTTCCCCCTGAATGAGAGCACGTCCATAGTTCTTCTAATGCCATCGAACACCCATCAAAAGTCATTTTTGTCGCGCGCTCTCGGTCGTGGGGAGAGCCGGACGGGCCGTGGCATCCCTCACCGACTTTTCACGCTCTCCCCACGTATCGATCGCGCGCCGGGGCCGTTTGCCACCACTTCTAATCAGATTAAAATTAAGCTTTAAATTTAACAAAAAAGAAGGAGCGATCCGTCGTGGTGGGGAGAAATTCATATTTGCATAAGTTGAGTCACGCAGGGTCTGCGATTCTCATTAATTCGGGTGCGCCTACCGTTTAACAATTATTGCATGCGATCCTTTTCTGTCCGTTGGTTGATATGCATTTTATTTTTGATCAGGCAACGGCTTTGTTTCTGGTTGTTAAAAGTGCTTTTAGAAAACGAGAGAGTATAATTAATTTTTAATTTTATTTTATGCAGTTGAGATGACAAAAATCCCATTTGTTAAAAGTAATTTACTATTTTCTTCACAATTTTAAGCAACGGAATGGATGTTATTCCAACCCATCAATATCCTTCTCTGTTATTGATTTTTTCAGTTCATAT